TATATAATAGAGGTATAGGGTTACAAGAATTGGGAGTGGGATGTTGACTAGAACAGGAATGATTTCTGTTTATTCACTGTATGTCTAATACCTTAAATGACCTTTTCTTTTTTGCTCAGTGCGCTTCTATTCTTGAAGATCTGGCTCTAAACTAGGAGGCCAGAACAGTAGTTTTGTTTTGTTTTGTTTTGTTTTTTTAAATTTCATGAGATCTCATTCAGGATGCAATCATTGCTGTATTCCCAGGGCCTAACTGCCTAGCAGATGGTAAATGATCAGAATTGGATGGATGGGTGACTGAGTGAATGGGTGGATGATCAAGCATAAAAAAGTGTTATCTTGCCATCAAGGAACATGTAGTCTAGCTGCAAATATTCAGAAAGCGCTTTTGCTTCGATTTCATGAGTTGTCCTTTCAGTTTAGTCATTTTTTGCTTAATAGAAAAGATCCTTTTAAGTAACAAAAGTCACGCTGTTAGGTGTGTACTCACTTCCCATTTCTGGAATGGAACTATATTTGTCTGCTCCGGAAATTTTTTCTTCAAACATTTAGGAGGAAAAATATTGCAAAGATAACATTGTTTATAAGGAGACTGAATGCCAACAGTGGTTTTGCAATTTACCAGCTCCTTGACCTTGGTTATAAGTAAGGAAGCTTTCCGTGCCTCATTTTCCTAACTTCCCAGTATCTTCTGTAAAATGCGGATAAACCCTGGCAGGTAGTGCAGTTGGTTAGTGTTGTCCCGAAATGCCAACATTGTGAGTTCAATCCCTGATCAGGACACATGCAAGAAACAACCAGTAAATACATAAATAAGTGGAACAGTACATTTTTGTTTCTCTCTCTCCCTGAAAAATCAAATTTTTTAAAAAGAGACTTTCTTTAAAAAAATTAATTAGGTGGGAAAATGAGGATACTAATAGACCTACACCCCACATTGTGGAGAAAGTTAAATGAGTTAATTCATGTAAATGGCTGAAGAATGACTGGCTCATAGTACTCAACTGATGGGTGTTACAATTACTGTATTGTCATCACAGTATGTATATCTCTAGATTTTTATTCCTATTAGAAGCTGATAACACACTTAAATGCTAGCTGTAAACTTTACACATCAAATTTAAGCATTTAAATATAAGCCAAAAAAATTTTGATAATTCTGAAATCTGGGTAATGGAGGTTTGGTAGCTCAATATACTGTTACTCTTTTGTGTATTTTTCAAATTTTTTATGATACAATTTAAAATCAGAAATGTGATGATTTGAAAGATGATGCTAAACAGTCCTGAAGTAAAGGAAACCTATTAGGCTCTGTTTATTCCTACATTTTTCAAAATGTTGGGAAAACTTTGGAAATGCTGGTCCGGGGTTTTTTTGTTTTGTTCTGTTTTTTTGTTATTTGTTTTTGAGAGGAAGCGTTTTTGTTTTTAAAAAATTTTCATAAGGTGGTTAATTCTCTCTGTTGTATTCAACATGATTTTTTTCCCTCAGTTAAGTCTGCTATGGTCACTTATTTTAAGCCAATTAGATCATGTGATTGAGAATGATGACTCTAGAAAAAGAATTTACCACCTTGCTAGGGCCCTTGCATCCTGTGGGCCTTTTCCTAGTCCCATAGGCTCTCTTTCCCTTTCCTTTCCTATTTATCCAAAAATTGGATTTCTTACTATTTCACTTAGGAGACAGGCAAAGCTTGCCTGAAATAAAAACATCCCTGGAGAGATTAGACTGTGATTAACCCTTTTCCAGCATGTAAAGACGGAGGATTAGATGAATGAATAAATAACATAATACTGTGCTCTGTTTGGTGACATAGAGTTTTGGTTGAAGAAATAAACGAATTTGTTCCCTGAAAATTTTGAGAAATACAGCTTTAGTACTAGAACTCCACAGTCAAGGTTACCCCCAGGGTTTGGAACTTAGGGACACAGGGTACACATAATGGTTATATCTGATCCAGAAAAATCCCTCCCAACAAGTCTTTCCAAGACCCTTTATTTACTTTGGTGTTAGAGCTCCAGTAGGAGATATGACTGTCACCGAAAGCAGTTCATCTTGAAGGGGATTCCCATTGACTGGGAGCTACCAGGAAGAGATTCTGTCCCTAAGTCCCAAAGGCACTTTTATTTCAAGCCGCCCCTCCATGATGAGACCTTGGCTGACCTTGTGGTACTCATTATGGTGCCAAATGACCGGTCTCAGCCTGTGACTTTCCTACTGCTTGTGTTTCCAGTAGGACTAATGATGTCTTGTAACCTTTATGACTGCTTTAGATTATCTAATTATGCTCATCATAAAATTGAGCTAGCTTTTTTTTTTAAAGGCATTTTGATGAGATTTAACTCTCAAATGGACCAGCGTAAAAGTGTTTTGTGTCCCTACAAATCTTACAGAATTCTCGGATGAAAATAATTCTTGTGTGTGTGTTTGCGTGCTCGCCGCTACAATGTGATGAAGTGGAGTGAAGTGAGAGTGAGAACTCAGTCTACTTCTGTGGACACTCTATTTTCCTTCATCCGGAAACAAGTCTCCTTTCTTCCTTGTTGAGTTTCAGTAGCATATTTTGTGCTATGTTAGTGAGTGTTTTCTGCAGTCATTAAAAATTACAGAGAAAAAAAGGAAGCCATGTGGAACTAAAAGAATGCGGGAAGAAGAAAACGAGACGAGGATTACCATAGGAGTGGCATTGTAGAAACACTTCACCAGCACTTTTCACTGTCCACCATTACTTCCAGACTCAAAGACTCAGAGCTCATCTTTTAAATATTTTTTTCTCATCCTTGGTACAGACTTTTATTTTGCATAATGTTTTTATTCTGGATCATTTTAAGTATAATTCAAATCTGAGAAGCAATTATCTCTGCCATTTTTATGGTTTAAATACAAATCTTTAGTGACTGAGAATAGAATTTGACTTGTAAATGAAGTCAGACTGGGCTTCCCAGGACCCTAATTTCTTTAAAAGAACCACTAAAAATGCCTGAAAGAATCTTGAAACTTTGAAGAAGCTCGATTTGAAAGTAAAGATTTATTAGACTTACTTTTTTAAGAAGTTTGAACTGAAATTAACACATGCAGACTTAGTTTCTGTTTTGAGATTTGACATTAAAAATGAAGTACAAAAGAGGGCAGCCTTTTTCTACATTTCTAATATTTAAGAATAGAAGACTGAATTTACTTACACGAGGCCTTGCACTTTAAGAAAACTGATTTTGCTGGAAGAAGTAATTTTCTTGGACCATTAAACATTTACAAAATAATATATTAAACTCCCAGACTCCTTGCTGGGTACTTCCTACAGAAGGCACTGTCTCATCTCAGCCTGCCCATAGCCTTTCTGACTCCAGTGGCATGCACCAAAGTAAAAAGTCTAAGGTGCTCTGTTTTTGTGGGTGGGCAGGTAACTTTCAACTCGGAAATTTGGTTGTATGAGTATGTGATTTAATTGAAGTTACTGCTGCTTTGTATAATATCTCATTAGTGGAAAGTTTCCCAGACTTTTCTTGAACACTAAAGGTAGATAAGTCTATGCTTAAATAAATAAATTTTTTTATATATGGTAGAAAAGAATTGAAGGAAAGCACAATGTTAATATTGATTTTCTTAAACTTGAATTCCTAAGGTCATGCAGTTGTCAGTAAGAGAGGAAATCAAGTTCCAAGAATCTTGGCAAAATTCTGTTTTCTGGCAGTTTTTTTGTGATTGTGTGTTTGTGTTTAACTATTTGTTAAAGCACTTCTTCTTTCCTTATGAAGCTAGATAACTGCCTCCTTGTTGGTTTCCTAACAATGCCAATAATAGATTTTAAATTGTGTTTTCTCTTAATCTGTTACCCTTTTTAGTCAGATAAATTTTGTATATCCAAATGCTGTAAAGATTTAGAAGTATTCCTATTAACCCTGTTCTCTCTCAGGGTTTCTACTCTGTGCATATGTGGACCTCCTTGATGGCACTCCTGCAAGTTTAGGGTTTTAGAGTGTGGAATTTGTTCTGTAATTGTTAAAATTATCTCTTACCAGTACTCCCTTGTCCATGTTAAGTCAAAATATCAGGTAATAGAAAGCAGTGTTTTTATTTCGGGGCTTTATGGGGGAGGATAGATTAAAATTTTGGGGTTTTTATTTCCTTGTGTCTCACTGTATTTATAATAACTTCTTTAAATGACATGGAACAAGTAACCTAAAGATACAGTGGTACCTAGGTACTCGTTGTTAATTCATTCCAGAGCTTGTGACGAGTGCCAAAACCAACGAGAACTGAATGTTGAAGCATTTTCTCTTGCGGGGAGGCATTGTGATTATACAAGTTCTAGCAAGTGCAACAGGTCCTGAGTCCCGAGCAATTGCCCGAGTGCTGAAACACATTTTTCTCTCAAAATGTGACCAGTACAGGCTTTGATGATCTCTGAAGCCGATGAGTACTGATGTGTGACTGTACCTAGTTTCAACTGCTCATCATTCCTTTCCCCTTTTTCAATTAAAATGCCCAATATTACAGATTTAAAATCAATTTAAGCAGTTTTATCTAAGGTAGAAAAACAATAAGCCAATCTTTTAATTAAATCTGCTTTTCGTATGTATGTACTGGTATCAGCCTCCTAAGTGTTTGAAAATTGTTTTAAATATTAAATTATAATAACTGGTGGCTGTTTCTAAGGATTAAAAAAATGCAAAAAATATTTTCTAGTCTAAATACTTTTCCTTGATTTTTTTTTCCCCCCCTGTGATTGGAATTACTTTCTATAACTATAGAGTCTGATATGTTGCTTTTTACTGTTACAGAATGTATATAATTGGTATATTTTGTGGTTCAAAATGGCAGCTAACACTGATTCATAATTGATGTTTTAACTGTTTACGTTTTTTGAAATTTTTACATGTGAATTTGACAACATGTCATTTTTACAAGTAAAAGCAGTTTTCAGTAGCTTTTTTTTTTTTACTGTGCAATTTGAGATACATTTGAAAATATGAATAAAATTATTTTTGTTTCATATCAAGAAATGGATGAAAAGAGGCTGCTGGATCCAGGGTTGAAAGTTCGTAAAGGCCTCTGGGATTACACTCTGAAGAGCCAGCGGATGGAATGCCTGAGTGACTGAAGAAAATGGGTGCTAATGCATCTAACTATCCTCATTCATGTTCCCCAAGGGTAGGGGGAAATTCTCAAGCCCAACAGACTTTTATAGGTAACTGTTTCAGTTTTTCTAACTTTATTTTCTCTTGTGAATATAAATTGAACTGTGTTTTCAGTGGTTTTTTGGAATGAAAAGAGAATTGAACTGTGAAAAAGTTATTATAGATAATTATGCAGCATCCAGGATAAGTTCCCAACAAGTGTAAATTTGCTCTATTTTTCCTATTCTTTATTTAATATAAAAATGAGTTATTTGAACTTGTATCTTTATAAAAGCAAAATCCGGGTGTTTTTTTAATGGTTCAGAAATGTCTATAAAAATTTTAACATGAAAATTTTAGCATGAAAAATTTTAGCATTAAAATGAATGTTGAAAGTGAATGTTAAAAAAATAAGCACTTTTTCATTTGTTTAATTTCCTTCTTAGGGACATCATCCTATTCTCAGCAAGGCTATGGTTGTGAATCAAAATTATATAGCCTTGACCATGGCCATGAGAAACCGCAAGACAAAAAAAAGAGAACCTCTGGCCTTGCCACCCTCAAAAAGAAGTTTATTAAGCGTCGAAAATCTAATAGGTCTGCTGATCACGCCAAGCAAATGCGAGAACTCCTCTCTGGGTGGGATGTTAGAGATGTCAATGCATTAGTGGAGGAATATGAGGGAACTTCAGCCTTAAAGGAGCTTTCTCTACAAGCCAGTTTGGCTAGACCAGAAGCTCGGACATTGCAGAAAGATATGGCCGATCTTTATGAGTATAAGTATTGTACTGATGTAGACTTAATATTTCAAGAAACCTGTTTTCCTGTTCATCGTGCCATTTTGGCAGCAAGATGTCCATTTTTTAAAACACTGCTTTCTTCCTCACCTGAGTATGGGGCAGAGATCATAATGGACATCAATACAGCTGGTATAGATATGCCTATGTTTTCTGCGTTGTTACACTACCTTTATACTGGAGAGTTTGGAATGGAGGACTCAAGGTTTCAAAACGTTGATATCCTGGTTCAGCTTAGTGAAGAATTTGGAACACCAAATTCCCTTGATGTAGATATGCGTGGACTTTTTGATTACATGTGTTATTATGATGTCGTCCTTAGTTTTTCTTCAGACTCTGAACTGGTTGAAGCTTTTGGTGGAAATCAGAACTGCTTAGATGAAGAGCTCAAAGCTCACAAGGCTGTTATTTCAGCACGGTCCCCATTTTTTCGAAATCTATTACAAAGGAGGATACGGACTGGTGAAGAAATCACAGACCGAACTTTGAGGACTCCCACAAGAATTATATTAGATGAGACCATTATACCAAAAAAATATGCAAAAGTTATATTACACTGTATGTATACCGACGTGGTGGACCTCTCCGTTTTGCACTGTAGCCCCTCTGTGGGGAGTCTCAGTGAAGTTCAGGCTCTCGTCGCAGGGAAACCAAACATGACCAGGGCAGAAGAAGCCATGGAACTTTACCACATAGCACTGTTCTTGGAATTTAACATGCTTGCACAAGGTATGAAATTCTGATTTTTAATTTTGCTTTGTCGAATTACATGTTTGTCTGCCATATTGAAAGCACAACCAGTACGTTGCATGATTTCAGTGTTTGGGATGTGAAAGGGCCAGTTTATTTCAAATGTATAGTTACGACACCTAAGACAGAATTAAGGGTTAGTATTAATGTGGCACTTCATTTAGTATTAAAAACAAGCATTCAAAACTAGTGACTAAGAGCAGCACATGAGACTTAAGGCTCTTTCTTTCCTAATGTAAGACGATAGGCATGGGAATATATAATTACCCAGCTACCACCCACCTACACCCTGTCTGCACCCAAGCTTTGAACAAACCTTATTTCTGGACTTCAGGGTTATACTTGATCTAGGGCTTATTGGATAACTTACGTTGCCTTATTTACACTCAGTGCCTTATTGATGCTGAAGTGTTTAGAATAAGAATGAAAGTTCATAGTAACAATGAACGTAGTCACATTTGGGTATAAATTTATTAGGCAGGGTTTCTAATTTAAATTTAAAAATATTCTGTATCTTTTCAAGCTCAGCTTGTACATAAAGCAACAACCTACAACATGTAAGATATGTAAGGTACAGTTAGTGCTAGACTCATGTGCCTTCTTCATTTAATTTAAAATTTTTAAGTTAGGGAAGCACATTTTTTTATTGTAGCCAAATTAATACATGGAAGTTACATTAAAAAAAACGTATCTCTTGGTAAACATTAGAATCTTAACTTTTTGGAGCTGAAAAGAGACCTCCCATGGGAGAGCAAAGGGTAATTGCTGTCTTGACAGAGAGCACGCTTAGCTTTCTACGGCCATATATTAAAAGGAAACAAGTTAGATGACATAAATTACTTGAATAGTTTAGCTAATGAGTATTCACTACAGGAACATTAGAAGTTGCCAATTAGAATGTTAACAGTTTGGGTTAAAAAACAAATTTAATAAGGAAAGCTAAGCACATTTTTCTAACTTGAAAATAATGTGTATTGTATGGCTAAATCAACAAATTAATAAGACTTTTAAGAAGGAAAAAAAAAATAAGATGAAGCCCGAGTTAAGTAACAATGTCAGGAATAAAATGAGAACAATTATACGGAAGAAGACATTGATAAAGATGAGTGAAAAAGTTGAGATTTCTACTACATAATTTTTTAAAATCTTATTTCACTATTATCTTTTTTGTAATGGTACTAATTTTGTTTCCATACCACAGTCAAAATGTCATTAAAATATTTTCCTATTAATCATTATACTAATAATAGTAGACTACTAGAATTTAGATGTCAGACTATAGGGAAATAGGTTATCAAAAATAAGCTAGCAGCAGCCCTGGCCAGGTAGCTCCGTTGGTTAGAGCATCTTCGCAATATGCCAAGGTTGTGGGTTTGATCCCCATCAAGGCACATAATAAGAATCAAACATGCCCTGGCTGCTGTGGCTCAGTGGGTTGAGTGCCAGCCTGCGAACAAAGGGTCCACTGGTTTGATTCCCGGTCAGGGCACATGCCTTGGTTGCGGGCCAGGTCTCCACTTGGGGGCATATGAGAGGCAACCACACATTGATGTTTTTCTTCTCTCTTTCTTGCTCCTTTACCCTCTCTCTAAAAATTAAATAAAGTCTTAAAAAAAAACAACCCACCAATGAAGGCATAAATAAGTGGAACAACAAAATGACGTTTCTCTTTTCATTCCTCTCTAAAAATTAATAAACTAAACAATTTTTTAAACATAAAAGCAGAGTTAAAAAATAACCAGCAAAAAAAAAAAATAACCTAGCAGCTTGACCTTTTATTATTTTATTCTGTAAAACCAAATTTGTCAGAATTTGCCCCTACAGAAAAATTTGATGGTTGCAACATTACTAAAAAGGCATAAATAATATGGTTTTATTTTTGACATATTTAAAAAATAAAAAACTAAAGTGTGTTGTATATATTTTGCACTTTTTAAAAATGGGAAAGCATTTTTTAAATATAGGTATTTGTTTTAAGTTTTGAATGAAAAGTAAAATTGTGAGCCAACTCTTGGATCTTAGGTAATACTTGATCTTTTATACTAAGTGAGATAATTTTTTAATCATTTAGCTAGAAACTTTATTATTATTATTATTATTATTATTATTATTATTTTGGTACATTTAAGATATAAAAATGCCCTGGCTGGTGTGGCTCAGTTTGTTGGAATGTCATCCCATAAACTGGAAGTTTGAAGTTGAGTTCCCCTGCAGGGCAGATGCCTAGGTTGTGGGTTTCCTCCCGGGTGGGGTGCGTAGGAGAGGCAGCCAGTCATTGTTTCTCCCATGGGTATTTCTCTCTCTCTTCTTCCCCTCCTCCCCCCGAAATCAATAAGCATGTCCTTGAGTGAAGATTTAAAAAAAAGATATGAAACAACATTCCTTGCATTAACTTAATCTTGGTTACTTATTTAAAAATTCCCTTAAGCATGGTTGTGAATGGCACTCTGTTTCCTTTCCTTATTTAAAGTATATAGAGTTTAAGTTAATTGGTCGTCTGCTTTTTGTACTCTGGGTAGCCCTTATCTTTTCTCCATACCCATGCTACTATTCATACTAAGGTTTATAACAGACCATACCTTTAGCATAATTTTTACCTCATTTCCATGGGAAGGAGAATAATTTGTCACTTAGAGAGGGATTTCATACCATAAAGCCTAAGGGCTCATGCTGGAAACCTTGCTAGATTCCTTGCTGGAACCAGGCAAACTGGATTTCAGCCCTTCAGTACCATGTTTTAACTTTTATAAAAGCTGAGGCATCTATTGTGTGTTACGAAGTAGTCTCCCATGCATCCAGCATGATACTACTTATGTACCCTTTTGGAGTAAATTAAGAAAATAGCCACCAAAATTACATTCTGTGTTTCAGGCAGTCTCCCAGTTAAGAAAGGCTGTGAGAATAGCCTGTCGGGCAACTTGGGGGTAGGACCATATTGTCCTCGTCTTTGCATTCCCAATACCTGACCTAATAGTAGGCGATCAGGAAGTGCTTGGAAGGATTTAATGAGTTAAAGCCCAGTTTTAAAAAGGAGACAAATTCTATCAAGGGAGGCTGGGACCTTGAGACTGGATCTGCCCTTCAAGGTAGAAAGGTGATTTAATAGTTTCAAGAGCATCAGAAAAAGGCATTAAAAAAAAAAATTAAAAGAAAAGAAAAAGGCATTAGAGGCAGACAGCAAGAGCGGTTTGGCAAATGGAAATAAGGAAGGATCCCTGGCCTCCACTGAGAATGCATTTTATTGAGACAAGTAAGCAGTCACTATTACTATTAGGGCAGTGAACTAACAGTGATGGGGCTTCAACTTACTTGCTTGGCTAGCTAGATTTAACTTTATTTGATTTCCTATATAACAGATGGAACATAAGATGATTTCTTTTTCCTCTAAAGTCCTTATATTATAGTAAAAGGAATAAAAGAAGCATAAACCCTCAAGGACAAAGATACCTGAGAAGAAAACAACAGTGGAAAAAAGAGTATTGCAGTTTTTAGAAGGTGGAAAGCAGATAAAGAACTGATGACTAGCATAACAAAGAGAGGCTGTGACCCTGTGGCCCTTAAAGGGTCTACTAAGAAGAAGGGAGGCACAGACGGTACTAAGTACTCTGGAGAGCAGCCATACGCGTGGTGTAGAACTAAAAAGAGAGAGTTTTAAGTCTTTATACTGAATGGATGAACCCTTTCCCCCACCCTGGAATTCACCTTTATATGCGGTGTTAGAAAGGGATAGGGTTTTGTTTGACTTCACGTAATGATTTGGTTTCTGAGTACCCTCTGTTAAACAATCCATTTCCTCTCCCTAACTTGGACTTCAGTTTTGTTTCAGTGGTCCATTTGTCTGTTCTTATATCTATATCACTTGCAGCCAGGTGGCAAATTCTGACCATCCCTTTGTTACTCCCCGCCCCACCCCACTAAGCACAGGAGAACCTGAGATTTGTTTTATAAAGAAATCGAACTAGAAAGATTGCAACTCTGGAAATAGCTACAAAGGGGTTGGGTGGGGTGGTAAGGGACAAGGTTGAAATCTGGAATTATGTGAACGCCTACAATTATGAAATCAGTCACTTGCCTTCCCTTGCTCTAGTCCAAGCCAGGCTGCTATGAGACAATAAATTAGAGCTCTAAAAATGGTAACAGGCCATACATACTGCTGTTTTGGAGCTCCACTTTAAAGTTATGTTCAGGAGTTACCAAATGAAAAAGCCAGTTAGCCTTCTGTTGTTCTACAAAGAACAATATAGCAGTCCCCCTTTATCCACCGTTTCAGTGCCATTCTGAGTAGTGTGATGAAATCTTGTGCCATCCCACCCAGCTCTGTCCTATCTAGGACATGAATCATTCCCTTCTCCAGCGTCTCCACTGTATATATATGCTACCCACCCATTAATCACTTAGTAGTCACCTCGGTTATCAAATTGACTACCTTGGTACACAATGCTTACATTCAAGTAACTTTTATAGGAGCACAGTGCAGCGCCACAATGCCTATGGCATTCACCTCACTTCATCTTAGCCTGTAGGCATGGTATCATCTCAGATCACAAAAAGGGTGAGTAGTGTATAAGATATTTTGAGAAAGACCACATTCGTGTAATTTTTATTACAGTATATTATAATTGTTCTGTATTATTATTATTATTATTATTGTTAATCTCTTACAATGCCTAATTTATTAAATTTTATCACAGGGATGTATTTGTAAGAGAAAACTGTGTGTGTGTGGTGTGTTGCGTTGTGTTCAGTACTGCCTGTGGTTTCAGACATCTACTGGGAGTCTTAGAACGTATGCCCCATGGATAACGGGGGGCTACTGTAGTCAGCAAGCCTGTGTATGCAAAAGAACTTCCAAATAGCTTTTTACTGCCTCACTTGTAACTACAAAATCCCATTTAAGACCCACTGGACATTTGAGGGAAAACTTCCAAATTGAGACAGATCAGTGCAAAAAGACTCTTAGAACTAAGAAACAGACATTG